ACAAGGCAATATCCCCCTTCGGTTTCCTGTTAGGCTAATTCACGAATCTAGTTATGCTAACTTTTCCTTTGCATTATCTTCGCGAATTTGTTGGTCCCCATCTTTTTGCAACCTGCCCTCTGTTCAGGCGACATGGAACAAGTCCTCAGTACACTGGCGCCACACTTTTCTCCGCCATCATTTTCTACTTCCGGTGCTGGTGATGGGACCAGGCCGTCATGTGCCCCACTCGTTCCGGTCGTCCCGCCTCATTTGGCTCGTCAACTGGCGGCAGAGGCTGCAGGCTCGCTTTCCAAGCTGGTCGCCATCACAGCGGCCTCCACGACTGCCGCTGGTACCGGAGGTGTCGTTGCCTCCGCCTCTTCATCTGGACCCGGCGTCTTACAGCCGCCGCCTTCGGAGCCGGCCAGCGCTCAACTGGTGCCTCCTGTCGGATGGACTGCGGACCCCTCTGCGTCCGGTGCTCTTTGTCGTACCGAGGAGCAGACGAAGGTGAGCGCTTTGTCGATGGACGCTGTTTCCGGCCATACACACCCAGTTCATACCCTTTTTAGCGCATAATCTCTCATGAGCTCTGGTTTCGCAATTTAAAGCTCATCTAATTTACGTCCGATCTCGAGGCTTGAGCAGAACAGCGGATTGTAGGACTGGTGGAGTTTGGAAAACCGAAGCTGGGCTTGGAAGGATTGTGCACGCCAGGCGTCATATGTAAATGTATGCATGTATACATACATTCACTCACACACATGCATATATTTATATATGTATGTGTGGGGGTGGTGGTGTTAGTTTGAGAGAGTAATTGCACTGTTGGACGCGTAGCTGGGTGTCGAAGGCTCTCTTGATGAATTCATGTTTTCATTCATCTCATTTTGTTTGAACAAAGTCATCGGACGAGATTCGTCTATTGGCCTCACCGAGGAGAATGATGCAGATATAAAGAACAAGATGGTGTGTATCTGTCTAGAGTTGGCCCCCAAACTATATTTAATTTTTATCAAAAACTGTAATCACCTTAAGTCGCATAAGGTTATGAAGGACTGATTTGTCACAATCATATGAATTTGCCTCAAGTTTACATTTAATTTTACTTTGTATTCTTTCCTAAAAGCTATTCTTATTCAGTCTATTACAATTGACTACTCTACTTATACTCAGAAAGAGTAGGGTTCGAAGATAGCGGTAGATCTTGATGTGAACAAGGATAGGATGTCGCCTCATAGACAATGTCGGCGTAAGTTCTTGGAATATACTAAGTCAACGGTCGGAAGCTGGAAATTACCATAAATACTATGGCAGATGGCGCGACTAGGCATGTTCCGCGTGGTCTCCTTGTCGCTCCGACCAAGTGGCGAATACGAAGGAGGATTGTCTTGGAGTTATGACTGTAGATTTTCGTCTGTGTCGAGCTTGGCTTATTATCTTTCATCTCCGATGAATGCACGATGCTTTCTGAGCTACACTCATTTCCAACTATGCTTCTCAAAGAAAAACTGGTAGGTTTTAATATAATTTTTATGCATATACGTATGTTCACATGCATGAGGTTTTGCATTTTCTATCTTTGGTTATCGAGGGACTTACAAAGGGAGAATCCATTTATATGTTGCATAAATGCATATTTCTTTTCTTAAACTATATTCTATTCCTCTTCTCTTTGCAGACAAAACAAGGAGAATTTAGTAAACTTTATGCAAATTTTTTTTGCCTCGCTTGTTTGCTGCTTTCACTAGCCTTCGGATAAGTGTTTCTTAGAGGACTTAACGCATTATATGCTTCTCGATAATATAAAGACCAAGATGGTGTGACCTCTGGTATGGTCGCAGCATCCGTCCGATGCATAGAAGTGGGCTGACCTCGTGTTCGCAACTTGGTCATGCCGTCAGAGAGACTTGGTTGGTCACACCTTGTCCAAGATCCTCTGCTATAGTAGTTATCATAATTCCCAGCTTCGGACCGTGGCTCATTTCTATTATGTGTGTATATTGACTTGCCATATGGAAAATGCTTCTGACGCCTACTTCCATTTTTCTTTACTATTTTATTTTGTGCCTATTTTTATTAATTTTTTTAGAACTATATTTTCACTGTTTTATCCTACTCCAGCTTGCAGAATTCCTTTCCTTTTAGCTATACCTTTTCTGGCAAAATGTACCATTCGTTCAATTGTGTTTTATCGTTCGATAGCAAGTACTTAAATGCTAGCTTTGCTTTCTCTGTAAAGCTCGTTAAGTTATACATTTTAACAGACCATTCTTGTTCGAACTGGATTGCAGCTTCGTCTTCCCTTATGTCCCATCAACACACCCGGCCAACCGGCTAGCTCCCAGCCTAAAGTATGCTTTTCGCAGCCAAGCAACCGTCTATATGTATTAAAACTGGCTTTCGAAGGACCCTTCAGGAATTTATTGTGATACGACTTTTCATTTCGAAGTACAGATTGGTCATAAGGTATTCGTGAATTGGTCTTGGCGCGGATTAAGGGAGGATTGACAACCATAAAATGAAGACTGTTTGACTGTGCCAAGAATCCATTGACTCAATGGACTCATTGGGGTTGCAGGATGGTGAGCCGAGGACTTCGCACAATCATACAGTCTCAGCTTCATGGCGGTTAGTCTTTCGATTTTCAGTGAGATTGACGATTTTCGTCCAATCCGCTTTTCTTTCGAAACAAAAAGTCATTCCACAACAAATCAAGCCTCTATCAATTTTCGTCATTTTTCAGAGAATTTTACATTTATAGGCCACTATATTTTGTATTAGTGAGGTCTTTTTTCTTCGAGTTTATATTTTGTTAAAATTTATCGTTTTTGCCGCACGCCTCCTTGTCGCTTCCCCATTACAGCACACTCTCTTCTCCGCCTCAGCCCTGCGCAAGTCTCTGGCTTTGTCAGTGCCTCATGTGATGCGTGATCTTGACCCGGCCACCGCAAGTTCTAACTGTCGGCGCGTGGTACCGCGACCCTCTGAGCTCGTCGAGCCCTGGGCTAGCGCTGTTCGCACATCTGAGCAGCGTCTTGATTCTGGGCTTGGCCTCTTCCACCTGCACTCCCTTTTACTGCAGGCTCCCATTGCCAGCATTCCCGCCGGTGAAACCATTGCCAGCTCGGCACCCCTGCCGCTACCAATCGGGTGAGAATCTCTCGGCCCC